CCCGGAGCCACGCCTGGACGACGAGAGCCTGGGGGAATTCCCGGGCAGCAACAGCCGCGCGCGCAAGGTGCCGCTTCCCGACAGCGGGAATGGGGGAGCGGACAGGGAGCTGGGAGCAGAGAGCAGGGAAAGGGGATGCTGAGAGCAGGGAAAGGGGGATGCAGAGAGCAGGGAAGGGGGATGCTGGGAGCAGGGAAAGGGGGATGCAGAGAGCAGGGAAAGGGGATGCAGAGAGCAGGGAAAGGGGATGCTGGGAGCAGAGAGCAGGGAAAAGGAGATTCCGGGCCTGAAATACAGGGAAAGGGGGATTCTGGTCCTAAAATACAGGGAAAGGGGGTTCTGGGCTCAGAATTCAGGGAAAAGGGGGATTCTGGTCCTAAAATTCAGGGAAAGGGGGATGCTGGTCCTGAAATACAGGGAAAAGGGATTCTAGGAGCAGAGGGCAGGGAAAGGGGGATGCTGGGCCCAAAATACAGGGAAAAGGGGGATTCTGGTCTTAAAATACAGGGAAAAGGGGGATTCTGGGCTCAAAGTTCAGGGAAAGGGGGATTCTGGGCCCAAAATTCAGGGAAAAGGGGGATTCTGGTCCTAAAATTCAGGGAAATGGGGATTCTGCTCCTAAAATTCAGGGAAAAGGGGATTCTGGGCCCAAAATTCAGGGAAAGGGGGGTTCTGGTCCTAAAATTCAGGGAAAAGGGGGATTATGGCATCAGTATTAAAGGGAAAGGGAATTTTGGGTCCTGAAATCCATAGGGATGGAGCCTCTACTGATGCTTTGGCCTCTTCCCATTGAGTTGCCTCCCGGGTGGGGGGAGTTAATCCCAGGGGAATGTTATTAGTGGATGTTGGGTTTCCGAAGTTCCCCTTTTCCCATCAGAGCCACATGTGGGGCTTTAATCCCATCACGATCCGGGGCCAGCCTGGCCTGATACGGATCATGGCACCACCAGGTCCCACTTGTCCCATTCCAGTGCTCCCAAGGGTTGTTGGACTGGATTCGGACGCGCTGGAGCATCCCAGATCCCAACTTCCCCTCTTTCCTCTCGATCCCAAGGGATTATCCGCAATGTCCTCTCCTCTTTCCTAGCGGATCCTGGAGCCGGATGATTTCCTGGATGATTTGGATGATGAGGACTATGAGGAGGATACGCCGAAGCGACGAGGGAAGGGGAAGGCCAAGGTGGGTTTCGGCTGGATCCCGGCCTTTTGGGGGCAATTCCCAGTGATTCCAAGACTTTGCCAGTGCCAAAACAGCCCCGCCACCATCCAGGGCTCCGCCGTGTCCGTGTTCTGAGGGAAAACCTCGGGATGTGCTCGAGCCTGTGGGTGGGATGAGCGGGAACCACCCCCCTCAGGTTGGGATAACTCGTGTCCATCAGCCACTAAGGAATGTTGGACATGGAAAACCCACTTCCTGCACTCCGGAATCTGCATGGTGGGAGGGTGTTGGCTCTCCTGCCCCTTCCCAAAGTGGGGAAGAGCCATCCCAAGGGATACTTTGCTGTTCGGGGCACATCCCGCGGCAATTCCCGAGTGTTCCCACTGTGCGGCAGTATTGGATCACGCTGTGTTCCCGATCCAGGAGCTTTTTGGGGCACAAGTTTTCCTCAAGTTTGGCTTGTTCCCACTTTTTCCCTCTCCCCCACCCAGGGCAAAGGCGTCAGTGGGGCTCGGAAGAAGCTGGATGCAGCGATCTTGGAAGATCGGGATAAGCCCTACGCTTGCGACAGTGAGTATGGAAAGGCGGGAGTGCTGCTTTGGGCATCCATTGGGATTTGGGATTGAAGCCACCAAAACCCAGGGAATTTTACGCATCCTGAGGAGGGTGTTTTTAGACCCCTCGAACTCTCCATCCTCCTCCTCTGGCGGGTGGAGACGGCTGGAGTTTTCCCACTGGGAATGCTGGCGTCTCGCCCCGTGTGAAGGGCTGTGCATGGAAAACTGAGGAGAAACCTCTCCTGGTGTTGCAAAGAGCCCTGGAAAGGTGGGAAGCAGCCCCCGCACCGGCTTCCCGCTGGGATCCGCGTCCCTCAGCCCAGGCTGGAGCCGGCTCAGATCCCGTTATCCCACCCTTGGCCTCTCATCCCTCCTTAAAGCCACTTCCTGAGGTTGTAGCTGTGAAACGCACCGATCCTGCTCTGGTTCGAATCCCTCCTTGGCTCCAGGGGCGGGAATTCGCTTCCCAATCCCACTCCTCAGCAAGCCCGAGCTTCCCAGTGCTTCCTCAAGAGGAACCGGGTGGGAAAACTAAGGAATTTGAACAGGGAAAGCAGCAAACCCAAGGGGCAAGCAAGGCTTTGGAATGCCCTTTCTGTCTTCTTCCTCCTGTCCTGCGCGAGCTGCCACTTCCTTCTTCCCCCCCTTCCCAACCCTGATCCCAAAGAGTTGTGTTTTTCCTGCCTTTTTTCCCTGTTGGAAGCATGGCCTGGGATGTGTGTGTGTGTGTGGGGTGATCTCACGACTCTCTTTCTGTGTTTCAGATAGTTACAAACAAAAGCATTCCTTGAAACCTCCCGACCGAGGTAGTCACTCTCTGTCTGCTTTTATACTTCCTGCTTTGCCTTTTCCCAAATATTCCCCCCAAAAAACAGGGATTTCTCCCCCTTTAAACCTCACGGGAAAGGGGAGGGAAGGACCCAGCAGAAGCCAAAGGCCGCCACCAACCTGCTGCTCCTCTCCTGACCCTTT